GGCTTTAGTAAAATAACTCATCATAAAAATGGAAATAGAGCCAGTATACAATAACATCACCTGATATAAAGTACCTAATGATAAACCTTTAAAGGCATACATGAGACGTCTACAGAGTACTACTGTGGCAAATAAGCTGCTGAAGAACACCAATGAACACGTCTTCAAGTGGAAATATGTAACATTTTCTAGCTATGTAGACTCAGCATCATTAATATTTTAATTTCTAAAAAAAAAAGAAACCAACTGTGTTTAAACTAAAATTTTCTTTGAACTATATAGGTGGATTCTGAAGATCATAAGGAAGATTAAACAAGAATAATCAGAAATAGTCTGAAAAAGTAGCATAATAAAGTAAGGCTTCATTAAAGATCAAGGATTGTAGCCTTCAGTGTGGATTACAATTCATTGTAAAGACCAGAGTCCTCACTGCTGGACCCATAGATAACATCATGATAAATGGGGAAAAGATTGAAGTCAAGGATTTCTTCTTGCTTGGATTCACAACCAGTGCTTTTGGAATGAGCAGTCAAGAGATCAAAAGACATGTTGCATTTGGTAAATCTGCTGCCCCAGGTCTCTTAGAGTATTGAAGGACAAGGGTATTACATTGAGGACTAAGGTGTGTCTGGCTTAAGCCATGATATCTCAGTTGCCTCCTATGCATGTGAAAGTTGGACATTCAATAAGGAAGGCTCTAGGAGAATCAATGCATCTGAATTGGGCTCAGGAAGAATACTGAAAGAACCATAGTCTGCTAAAGACAAGTACAGTAATAGCGCTCCTTAGAGGCAAGGATGGCAGGTCTTCGTTTTAAATACTTTGGACATGTTGTCAAGAGAGATCAGTCCCTGGAGAAGGACATCATATTTGGTAGAGCGGAGGGGCAGCAAAAAGGCAGAAGGCCTCTGTGTATATAGCCTCAGTGAAATGCATTGACACTGTGGCTGCAATAATGGGCTTGGACACAAGTAGAATTGCAAATATGGCACAGGACCTGGCGGTACTTAGTTCTGTTTTACATAGGTCACTATGGGTCAGAACTGACTTGATACTAATAACAGTATCCCTAAAATATTAAAATGTGTTTTAAAGCACAGATATTTAAAAGATTGGTTTTAATGCAAAGAATAATCTGAATGCTAAAAAGAAGAAATTTTTCAGATGTACACTCAGATATAAAAGGATCTTTAGTATATCATAAAGGCACTGTACCAAATCTGTGGGATAAAAAATTAGTGGGACAACTGCATGGTTATATTAAAAAACAAAAAGTATACCTGTATTCATATGTCATACCATACACCTAATTAAAATTACATGATACAAGATTCAAGATCTGAACCTGAAAACATAGAAGGTCTAGGAGGAAACATGGGAAAAGCCCACCAACTTGGGGTAAAGCAGTTGCCAGGAGCCCTGAAGTCCTCTGACTCACGGTAACTCCGTGCACGACAGAGTGAAGTTCTGCTGCTTCTGTACTTCTTGGTTGTGAAGTTTGAGCCCGTGGCTGACGTTGCTGTTGCAGTCCACTTCACAGAGGGCCATCTTTCCCTGTGATCCTCAGGGAGTGTCTACACAGACACTTGAAATTACAACTAAGTGTGATAATGACAATTACAGCATAATTCACAAATGTCTCCGCAGTTAAAAGTACAGTGTGTCTGCTGAAGAAGATTTTTGTTTTTCTCTTACAAATGTTGGTAAATACCATTGAGTTTGTTCTGAATTACAGCGGCTCTGTGTACAACAGAACAGTGCCCTGTCCTGCACGACCTCTGTCTGCAAGGGCTGCTGTGCTCGAGCCCAGCGTTGCAACTAGTGTTATCAGTCCATGTCATTGACGCCCTAACGCTTTTCCATTCACTAAGCAAGGGACTGATCTCTCTGTGTGAGACAAAGTCTCTCAGCCTTGCTTTTAGGGAGCACTCAAGCTGTCCTTGTTTGATTTCTTGACTGCTGCTTCCATGAGCATTGATTGTGGATTTATGCAAAATGAAAGTCTTAGCAACTGCAGTCTTTTCTCTGTTTATCATGAAGTTGTCTATTGACTCTGTTTTGAGGATTTGGGTCATATTACGTGTGTTTTAATCCATACCAAAAGTTGCAGTCTTTGATTTTCATCAAGTACAAGTCCTCACTTTTAGCAAACAAGGTCATTTGATCTGTGTATCAAAGCGTGTTAATAAGCCTCCCTGAAATCCTGATGCTGCATTCTGCTTCATACAGTCAGCTTCTCGGAGTACTTACGCAACATGCAGATTGAATAAGTACAGTGGAAGAATGCACACACCCTTCCTGATTTTAAACCATGCAGTATTTCCTTGTTCCTTTCCAACAACTGCCTCTCGGTCTATGTCCAATCTGCATATGCACAATGAAGTGTTTTGTAATTCCTATTCCTTTCATTGTTATCCATAGGGTGTTAGGATCCACATAATCAAAATTTAGTTGTGTAGTCAATAAACTACAAGTAAGCATCTTTTATTCTCTGCTTTTAGCTAAAATTCAACCAACAAAAAAGATCCCTCCGAGGTCAGCAAAGATATCCCTTGTGCCATGTCCTATTCTGCATCTATGTTGAATTTCTGGAAGGTCCTTGTTGATCTACTGCAGCAAGTTTTCTCGAACTATCTTCAGCAAATTTTACTTGTTTGTGGTATTAATGATGTTCAGTAATTCCCATATTCTGTTGGATCCCCTTTGGAATAGTACAAATATGGATCTCTTCCAGCTAGTTGGCACGGTAACTGCCTTCCATATTTCTTTGCACAAATGAGCCAATGCTTCTAGCCCTTCATTAGCTTATTGAGACATTTTCAATTAGTATTCTTTCCATTCTTGCAGCTGTTTTCACTGATAGTTTAATTATATCTTGAACATCTTCCTTCAATACCATTTCTTCTCAATCATAGCCTTCTAAAATGATGGAATGTTAACCCTTTTGGCGGACAGTGACTGTTCATTTCATCTTCTTTTGATGTTTCTTATGTTACTCAATAGCTAATCCATAGGATTCTCCAATATTGCAACTCAAATCTTGTACCCTGGGTTCTAACTCCCAAGGTTTTGCACTTCAAAAATAATACTTTGCCTCCTCAGCTGCCTAGAAGCATAGCGACACGTGTGGCTCCTGAGACTAAATCCGTATGAGTCCAGAAAGCTGCACTTTTCCCTGTAGAGTAGCTCCTAGGTGTGAACCAACGGCCTCTCAGTGAGCAACCTGAAGCTTATCCCAAAGCCCCACCAGAGTTCCTTCACAAGATTATCCATGGTTTGTTTCCATTAATCTAGTTTTCTTGTCCCTTTACATATTCTTGTTTCAAAATAACTTGCTTATTGTTTAGTCTCACATGGGTAATTTTATTAAAGTAGCACAATATGTACATGTGATACTAATTATTTTGTGAGCCAATTTGTTGGTTAGCTAAGAGGTGACCTTGAGCTGGTTTTGAAAGTGTCTCAGGGCAGTGGTCTTGCGGAGCCATTCAGACTCATTCAGTCTCAACAAGGTCAGGGGGTCTGGGTTTCTTTGTCGTTAGTTAGGTTGGTTGTTTTTTTGTTTTTTTTTAGGAATTTGACATTCTTTCTCACCATTTTTCTCTCATTCTATCAGGGTTAATCTGTAGTACATACCTTTTTAAATAGTTGAAAGTATTCTCTCTTGTTAATTTAAATCCCATTCACTCTTTTATTCATTGAAAAGCAGTGATCAGATTGCTTTATTGTATCTATGATACAATTTCTTTACTTCCAGTTACTTCATTCAGCAACTAGTGAACTTCAATCTACTTTCCCCAGGTGATGTGTTGCATTTAGTATGGACATGAACTCTGTCTTCACTTAGGACAAATACAGAATATGACTTTCTTCAGTGCACATTGTTTCTTCCTATGTTCCCCATGATTAAGTGGGAAAATGATAGAATAATCCTATTTCATTACTTTGCCATACTCAGGAAAGTGAGTAGTACCAAGTAGTGATGGAAACATTCAGTTGAGAAAAAACACATAGCCTATAATCTACTTACTGACTTTAAAGATTACCTTATAAGAAGCGTTAGAAGCTCATTTTTATAGTGTTGGCTTTTGGAGGCAGTGTCTATTCGTAAAAGTATATTCATAATTCATATGTAATATTTTGTATGGTTTTATTACACTTATGTATATTGGCATAAGGTGTGAAATGAACGTGCAAAGGGCAAGATTTGAAATTTAGTTTTCATATGTCCGTATTCAGACAACGAAAGCAGCCTAGTGCTATCAAGTGGATTGTGCTCATGATGACTCTGTTGGACAGAGTAGAACTCTCCTGGATTTCCGTTACTGTAAATCTAGATGTGAGCAGACGGTTGCATCTTCCCCACTCATGGCTCACTTGGCGGCCTTCTGCTGAACTTATGCCACCTCGTCTCCTTCTTCCTGAACTGTTTGAGGGAAATAAAGGGTGAGGAGAAGAAGGTTTCCTATTAGCTTTATAAAATGTACATATTAAAATATGTTCCTGTGGAAAGCCTGGAGATAACTATAGAGTACTTATCTGTGAATAGAAAACAATAGAGAAAAAGCTTCCATATAACTTTGACTAGGCTCAGATGCTAACTCAAAGTGCAGTGATTTGAACCCACCAACTACTCCTTGGTAGAAAGATGAGGCAGTTTACTTTGTCAAACTTCACCCTTGGGACTCCTGTAGCCCAGTTATCAGTCCTGGCTAGCTGTTATGAATTGGAGTCAACTCCACAGTAGCCGGTTTATATATTCAACAAAAGAGATAAGGGGAAAATCTTGAACAGTTTGACTTGAAGAATAGTTAATAACAACAGTATATTATAGGCTTTATATTTATGCTGGGGTTTTGCATGTTTCTTTTATTAGTTCTAAATACAGGAAGGGGGATCACTTAAGGACTCCTGATAAATGAATAATTAAAATAATTTGCCTTAGCAGAAGTTTTATTTCAACTTACTAAAAAAACTTTTGATATTTTATCTGTCTTTAGCCAGAACCACCAAAGAAGCCATCTAATTGGAGAAGAAAACATGAAGAATTTATTGCCACCATAAGGGCAGCTAAAGGACTGGATCAAGCACTTAAAGAGGGTGGTAAACTTCCACCTCCTCCTCCACCTTCCTATGATCCTGGTATATAAAATGTTGGCTGACAGAAATGTCCATGTCGAGAGAAAATCCCGATAGAATTATGAGATAAAGTTATTTTATAGTAATGGAGCTCGATGAAGCATATTTTTAAAATGTTTTGATACAAAACTGTTTACCATGGTGGGCGATGCTGTGCCTGGGTGTTTCTGAAACTACCCAGGGGCACTGCAAAAGCAGACTTTTACAGTATGCTCTGGGTTGTGGATATTTACCACGCGGGCGGGGCTAGTAAATTTTTTTTTTCTGAAAATGGAAGAATAGGCTAAAGAAGTTGAGGACCTTATGCTATACATTAAAGACAATAATCCCAACCTCTAGGTTTATAAAGCCACCTTAGCGTAGAAAATAGAAATACAAATTGTATTTTTATCAAAATGGCTTTATTTAAACTATTTAGCAGTAGAATGTTATCTTAAAATTATTTTAGTGACTATTAAATTTTACTATTCCCAAAAATATTTCAGTCATGTTCACTGTAGAGTGAAATGTCGATTTAGAAGGATTAATTTTCCTAGCCCTTTGGTAACTTCTCATCTGGGAAGGAAAAATGTATGCTCTAATTTGTTTCTAAAGTGTTAAATTCAATGTGTAAAAATTACCATAGACCCAAACCGCACCTTAATTTAGGGTTTATTCCGTTTCTTTCACTGGGTAGAGAAATGTGACTTGGTCCACTGTTACCAAAAGCAAAGCAAGACTTGGGCAGCCTCAAAGGAGACATTGAGATCCCACAAACACTGGAAGTAGCACATTTGAGACTGTGACATTGGTTATTGGATGGTCTAACTTGGTAGTTAAATGTTAACCACATTAAAATGTGTGAGGATTCTAGATTAGAGCTTATTTTCTAGTAAAGAGAAAATTCTTTAGAGAGGCTTCCATTTGATCACTTTGAGAATTTTATTCTAGAGCAGAGATTTGCCATAAATATTTTCATCTCTACAGGCCATAACAAGTCTCTCTGAGACAACTACTCAACTTTGCCACTGTTGCATACAATCAACTGTAGACAGAATATAAAGAATTGGACTAGCTGTAGCATAGTAAAGCTTTGATTACAAAACTGCTAGATTTGTTTCTTTGTAGTTTGTTTGCTTATTACTTAGTGTTGTAGAGTGTGAATAACTTCAGTAATTTTGCTTCTATCAGTATTTCTGGATAGAGTCTTCTAGTTCGGCCTTAATTTCCGGCCTAAAGCTAAGTCCCATGTCTGCTTTGAAAGTGTTGCTGCCGTTCTCGTGTCTGCACACCGCCGTGGAGTACCCAGTGTTCAGGATGCCTTGGTCTCACAAAACAGCTTTTGGGAGTGGGTTTTAGTCTTACTCCCTAGTAGGCTAGGGAAACATCTGAGCTTTGAATAAATGTAAACTGTAAAAGACCTCTCTCTCTCTCTCTCAAAAAGCTGCTAAATATTTATTTTGTGTCTATTCTTGCTCTCTGGTGTTTCCAGTAGCTTATTTGGTTCAGATTTTTAAACTGACACAAAATTTGAATCAGGTAATTTGAGGTTTTACTCTTTAAAATATATTTTAAAAATTTTTGAAAAAGGTATACTTTGCAAATAATGCCTTTTAGTATACTTTATCATAGAATCATCTTGTTTATTTAATTTGAACTAGCAGTGCTGATCATAAAAAAAAGTTCTTCTGACATCTGCTTGGACTTCCTCAGAGAAGGAAACTGTAAAGTCGATGAAACAATCCCTTGACCGTTTTTCTGTAGTGAAAATACAAGATTTTAATAGACTTGCTTTTCTTTTAAAATATATTCTTAACATAATATGTTTATTTTTAATCATACATTTCCCCTCTAAATAGCTTCAAAAAGCTCCTGGAAAAATTCATTTGTCTTTTTAATTCTGTTTTTCCAAAAACTTTCCAAAGCTCCTTTATACGTGATGAAGAATATGGTGCTAAAGAGGAAATTTGAAAATTTTTCATTCTGTGGGATCACGATGACTTGGAACAAGTTGATGGCAATTAGTTATTAGTTTTGTTTTGTTTATTCATTCTATTGCGCTGAAGGTTTGTCTTTTATCTGCCCTTTTTATTTTTCTCTTAGTCTTGTACTAGCAAACTTTTGTCCTTAAAAATCTTCTGGCAAAGTGCTTATGAGTAAAAAGGATGTTTAACCTATAACATTATATTGCTTACGTTCTTTATCTTGAATTACTGTAAATACAAATTTGTAATTTTCACTCTTATTTTAAATAGGATGTTATTAATCTGTTTCTGTGTTTCAGATTATATACAGTGTCCATATTGTCAGAGGCGATTCAATGAAAATGCAGCCGATAGACATATCAATTTCTGTAAAGAACAGGCAGCACGTATTAGTAATAAAGGAAAATATTCTGCTGATACCAAAGGGAAGCCAACCCCTCGGGCACAGGTGAAATGCTCAATTTCAAACATTTTTGTATGCAATTGAGAAAAGGGCTCTTTAAAATTAGAATGACCGTTTGAGAGTTAAATGATCCCAAGTAAGTAATTTGAAATAGCTTTGAGTTAACAGTGACTAGAAGGTACACTGCTTTAAGGAGAAGAGTAAAAGAAACATACATTCAACATTGGTGCCTCAAGTTCAGAGGAGATTAGCAGATGGATTAGAAGATGTCAAAAAAATGGCCCTCGTAATCCATATTTGAAAAGTTAGGGAAATTTTTAAAGTTCCAATGTTATAGATTAGTAATATTAAGGGGTGGAAGTGCTTGAGTCAAATATGAAAGCCATTTTTTAATATTTGGCAAATTGCATTTCATATTTATAAGCCATTATAAGCTAACATCTGTGCAGTAGTTAGCTCTATGATTCTTATTAGAGAATTAAATGAAATAATGTATATCAAAGTGCTTAGTAAACCATATCCTATTTAAGGTTTTGTTACATTAATGTTTATAACACTTTCTCTTTCCATTAAGCATATTACACAAAAATACTGATAATGTCAAGATTTTAGACAAATTTTAGCTTTCACAATTTTTTCCTTTATAGGAGCAACTTCTTCAAGTACTATAAATGTCGCAGACAGTAAAGTATAATTTACTTTTGTTATGTAAGAATAAAAGGTTAGATTAAAGACCGCCATACAATTAGGGGAAGCCCTGATGGCTTAGTGGGTTACTTCTTGGGCTACTAACCATGAAGTTAGCAGGTTAAAGCCATCCGTGGCTCTGAGGGAGAGAGAGGAGGCTTCCTGAGCCTGTACAGACTCTGCAGCCTCGTAAACCCACAGGCAGCTCTACTCTGCCCTGGAGGGTTGCTGTGCGTCAGAATAGACTCAGTGGCAGTGCATTTATTTAATTTTGGTTTTGGTTTATACAATTGGAGCCTCTTTGAAAGAATATTATTATTGACCGTAATGTTGGAAATAGAGCTTATCATCATCTTTGTACAGAAAGGGCAAGGAAGAAAACTCAGTTTAAAAAATTTCTAAAACATAACAAAATAATGATGCATTCCTTTAATTTAAATAGAGTGCAAATACTCAATATTTTTTAATGAATAAAACTCAATAGTGAGGAAGAAGTAGAGAAGAATTTACATATTCCAACAACTTTGTGACAACTGATTGGTAAATGTAAAACTGAGGTAGTGAATAGTTCTCAAGATAATAGTGATGGTTCTTTCTGATCCCAAAGCCCTTAATAATAAGGGTATGTACCTGCAGCCGTGTCCTTCCCTCCCTGCTCCTCTCCCCTCCACTTCCACCTCCTTCTCCATCTCTCTTCTTCCACCCCTCTCCTAACCCCTCCTCCCCAACCTCCTTCCGCAATCAGCTGCTTCCTGGACCCTTCAACCCCGTGTTCATGATTATTAATCACTGTTTGCTGTTCATTGCCTTGAAAAAACAACTACTCCTGAAAAGTTATTCATGTGAATTAAATTTTTCCAGAGAAAGTTTATGCTCATTTATTCCAGGGATCTAAAAGTACCATCCATCTGAAAACATTTTAACTTAAATATGAGTATTGTTTAACCAGTCTGATGATGCAAATTTATGCAGCAAATTCATGCAGTGCCACCTCATCGTTTCTGTTTCCTGGATTTGTTCTGAGAATTAATTCCTATTCCTTGCATATGAAAACTGAGGATTTTTAGTGTTTAATATAAAGGTCAGCCCAAATAGTCTAATTTGCCATTTTATTAGGAATGGATGTCTTTCATGATTTTTCTGCTTTTCCAATTAGCCATAAAAAGTCTTAGTAAGTATTTTTTCCCTAAGGAAATTTGTTGAATTCATGATCCTATATGCATAGATGCTAAATAGTAGGTAGTTAATAAATACTTATTTAATAAATGAAAAACATCGAATATAACTATATGAAAATGAAGTGATTTTGTTCTTTTGATCATTAAATTAATACAAAATTGCTGATGTTCAGATTCATCCTGAAAGTCTTTATGATAAAAGTAGACTTTCAGATGGATATTGTAGAATAGATAGACTATAGCCCACTATGGGAAGAGTCAGATTAACCAAGTCAGGGGAACAGAGAAGCAGGCAAGTAAGTTCTAAACGAGGCTTTCAGAGTAGGGTATGTATTCACTAATGGAACTAAGCTGACCAGTTCTTTTTGAAAGTAGTCAGAAATAGTATAGAATATAGAGAATGTTAGCCTTACTCTGGACATCTCAGAATACTTCAAAAAGTATTTTGTGTAAAACAATGGGATACCTAGTATAGGACTTAATTATTGGAGAGGTGAACGTTTCCTTTATCTTATATCTACAAATGCCTTTTAAATAGAGAAAAGGCAACAAAAATATCTGGAAAATTGTGTCTGCTTCTTTCTAAACGTCTGTAGTAGCTCAGTGGTCAATAACAATTTCAAATATGTACATGAAAATCTTTAGTCCTCATTGCTTACTTCTATCGGAGCCCTTCCTGTCTTTCCTTACAGAAGACTTGACCTCTCACCATAAAATACACCACACTAGCCTGTCTTGTTTATGCCAATAGTTTGGCTGAGTTTTAGTAGATGGAACAACATGTATGGGTCACCTGCGCTGTTGTTTCCAATTTTATTGGCTGTGTTTGTTTTTAGTCAATAGGCCTCTGATGTTTTGACAAATTGTTTGTTCTCATTTTCCATATCATTGAGAGTTAAAATTTCTTTTTTCCCTTCATTTTTTCCTACAGTATTTTAGTGGGAGAGGCTGGTACTAACTAAATACTACTTTAATCCATTAAAAAATTCCCTAGGTTTTTCAAGATAAAGTATCTTTAAAGATGCTTCAAGAATCAGCATCTCCCAAGGTCTCCTAGTCATTTGTCAATCGGACAGGGGATTACTGAAGGCCTTTTATTTGCCAGGTGCTTTGGAGATAGCCAGTTCTGAAATAATAATGTCAACTGTGCATGAGACAGCCAATGTAGAATTGACCAGATTGATATATGTCATCTTAGGAATTTTTATCAGGCCAGTGGCTGGATTATTTATATGAAGTAGAAAGCCACAGTAGGAACATGCAAAAATCTTGCCCTTTAAAGCTACATCACCAAATGAGCCTGATTAGTTGCTGGTAAATATTTGTTTGGTGTTTAAAATCTTAACATTGAGGAGATTTTGTCTGTTAGACATAGGCTTTAAGAAACTTAGGAAATGTTGCTTTTTAAAAAAATTTCAAAAATGGAATACCTGTATTGGTATTGTTTGGTAAACCAAACAACATATTTGGTGTAAACCACAGAACATAGTTTAGTAAATCCTTCTCTGAGGTGATATAATTTCTGATTTTAGGGAATTTACTGTCAAATAAAAAATGGCTAGTTTAAAGGAATTGGCCTTTTAGAAATAATAGTTTATATTCTATAATGAAAACATCATGTTGATAAAATGTTTGTTTTTTTCTTATTTTAGTATAAGCCACCTGCACTTAAAAAATCAAATTCCCCTGGAGCCACATCATCAGGATCTTCACGATTACCGCAACCCAGTAGCACTAACAAAACTGTTGTAGGTAATGAGATTCATAGAATAACTTGATTTTTTTAAAAATACAGGGGTTGTAAAGAAGGAAATGAAGGTAGTGGCGTCTTTGCGTTTACTTAATAAATATATTCAAATATATTTAAAATGATGGAAGAGTTATGGAGAGTGAATTTTTGAATCAAAGCAAAGTAATTTTCAGTAGCTTCTACTTTAGATATTTAAGTTTTGTTTATCTGAAATGGCTCTTTTTGATGTACCACCATATATACTCTAGTATAAGCCGACCCGAATATCAGCTGAGGCACCTAATTTTACCACAAAAACTGCATTAAAAATGTGCTGAACCACTTTGCTTGTCCACGACTGTGTATGGTACCTTGTTCACAGCCATCACAGTTGTTTTGGTTTGTTTTTTATACTTTGACCACTGTATCTTGTGTTCTGTTTGTCCTTGTCCCTCCTTCAGCCTTCTCAGTTCCTCACAACCACACAGCAGACAACTGCGGTTTGGTCCGTATATTCACAAAAATTGTCTTTATTTGTAAGTGTATTTATAAGAAGGAAGCAGAAAATGAGATAAAGCATGTCGTAAAGCATTCCCTGGGAATTTTTTATTTTTAAAATTTTCTTAGCTTAAGCTTATTTTCATTAATTGCCACATGGATTGTTAATAAGGTATTGGTTTTCTTTTCAGAGCTCTGTTTTATATGATTTTCATTTTCTAGAGGATTTTTAAAACAAATCCCTTTTTTTGTGTTTTAAGGCGTGGCTCCTGGTAAAATGTCTTTAGTTAGCAGCTCTTTGGGAAACAAACTTCAGACTTTATCTCCCTCCCATAAAGGGATAGCAGCCCCTTATGTAGGGTAAGTCTGTATTTAATTTATTTATTATTGATTTAGTTTTAGATGATGTTATGGTTTCATTTTGCTAAGGTAGTTGGTATTTTCATTAAATTGTTTCATATCTAATTTATTAACCTTTTAACATATTGTTGGCTAAATGTACACTCATTGACGTGATGATTAAATTAGTATAATATTGGAACATAAGCTGATGGATTTAGCAAGAGACTTAAAAACATTCATACTTTTGATTTTACTGATAGCTTTGATAATTTTACCTGTGGTATTGTAATCTAATGAAAATATTTGAAGTAGCACAGAAGAAAACTATAAGACTCAAAACTGCCTGTATTTTTTGCTAGAAATTTCATAAAAACATGTAGGAGGAAAAAGACAAATTAAACATAGCCAAAATTTAACTGTGGAATTTAGAGTGATTGTTTTTTTGTTAATTACTTTTTTTACTTTTTGTTTTCTAAAGTGTTGTATACATGCTTTGTGATAAAATAGCAAAATTGAATTTTTACCAGTTTTATGAAGTGAGAAAATTGTTGAGAACACTAGAGATTCTAATAGAAGGGCACCTATTCCAGTCGAGGCTTGTTTCCTCTTTCGTTTTGGTAAGTCAGAAAATTAGGGAGTAGATACACGACCATTAGAAAAAGCTTATGCCCAGATCTTCTCAGGTCATTGAAGTTGATGAAGGAAATGTAAGCAAACATAAAAGCAACCCCCCTACCACCAAGTCACTTCTGATTCATAGTGACCCTCTATAGGGCTTCTGAGGCTCACCATTTTCTTAGGGACAGGTGGTCTCCTCTTTTCCCCTTGGAATGGCTGGTGGGTTTGTACCACCAACCTTGCCCTTAGCCGTCCACCACTCACTGGCAGCACCACCAACATAGTAAGCATTTTCAAGTACACGATATCTATGGCTCATGGTCAACTTTGGATCTTATCTAGGAACTGTCAGCAAGGGTATCAAGCAGGAGGAGCTACTTTTGTTTCCCAATTTGAACTACAACATCACAGTGCAGGAATTTGAAGGAGCTTAATGTAGTTATCTTTGTGAAAAAGAAAAGAATCAGTTAACAAGATCTAGTGAGTGAAATGGTTTCTTGCTTGTTTGTTTTTCTGATCACTGTTTCCAAAAAGTAACTGATAGCCTATCATTAAGAAACAAAAGGGTTATCTGTACTAGTGGTGCTTGCAAAGTAAGTAGTTCTCATCTTCCAGTGGTAAAACACTGATCCCCCCCCTCCCCATTGAATTATCTCATCCAGTGTTTAACTGAAGTATAAACATAACAGTATGTTTTCATTTAAAAAATGATTTTCCATATCACAGAAACAGTGTCTTTGGTGTCAAGTCCCAGGGTTGATTTGTAGTTTTGTTGGCAGTAGCTGGGCAGGAAGAGGCCACTGTTAGCTCTCTCTGCTACTACATGATGGTTTCTTAGTTGGCAGCCTTACTTGAACTGACAGGCTGTATTCTCAGATAGGGCCTGTACACCTTTCGGAGATTGGGAAGAGGGGCATTAATTAACCTTGGATTTAGAAAAATAGGCCTCCACATCCAACTGCATCCTGAGTGACATGACGCAGACACATTTCTTCTCTGCCTTACCGACAATGTCCTGTAGCTTCTTAGACCTTGCCAACTGTCCACAAAAATCTGACCAACATTCATGTTTCTAAGGGACAGTATGTTCTACTCACAAGCAAACATTTTTGTATGTTTTGTTCTCCTGATGCCACGAAGATTTAAATTCCTCAGTTATTCCATAGCAAATTGAAAAGTTTCAAGTGTATCTATTAAAACTCTATTTGTCCACTTTATGTTTGATCCTTTTGTCTGAAGGGAATGTTTCCATTGATCAGAGTAGTGGTGTTTACTTCAGGCCAATATAACACTGTACTAAACTGGAACATTACTTTTAGTGTCATTATTTACTGCTTTTCTAGAATTATAAATGTAATGATTTGCTTAATGTCTGTTTCCCTTGCTAGATTGTAAGCTCCACAATACAGAGGTTACATCTACCTTGTTTACAGATGTAACTGCAAGATCTAGCGTACTGCTGGCACATTGACAGTTGATTGAGGATTGGATGATGGTGGAATTAAACATGTGGTTAACTAACCTTAAAGAGATTGAGGACCTCTTAAAATTAATCAAAGGAAGTCATTTTACTTGCATGGAACCATTACCAAATATACTTGTTTATAAGCTGTTTTTTTCAGCACATTTTTAATGCAGTTTTTGTGGTAAAATTAGGTGCCTCGGCTGATATTCGGAGCGGCTTATACTCAAGTATATATGGTAAACTTCAATGTATGAATTTTTTTTCTGATTGATTTAATCATGTATACTAATGATGTATAATATTTAGCCTATATTGAAACTATACCTCAGAACGATCTTTGCACTTGTAAAAAGTCTCACATTTGTAATTCATTTTAAGACAGCCCATGCATCTGAATTTTTAGCCAACCAATAATTCTATAAGGGGAAAATAATAGTAGGGAGGTACCCAAAGTTTAGAGTAATCAGACATTGCGATCCAGGACACCATTCAGAAGGATTAGGGTGGGCACAAAGAATGGACATAGGAAACACAGGGAGGAAGTGAGATATGTGATGTTACATTATGGAGATGGCAGTCGATGACCTGAAACAAAATATGCGAATTTGTTCATGGAAAGCTGGTCTGTTCTGTAAACATTCATCTAATTTACAATGAAAAAATTGTTTTAATGCCGTGGAAACAGTTCCCTTTTTATTCTATAAATTAAAATATGAATATTTTTATTCATCTTAGGGGATTTTAAGCCTGTGATGAAATACAGTTTTTTAAAATAAATGTTGCCACATTTAAATTGTGTCACAGTCTTTTTGCAGTCATATGCCATTAAGAATTGTGTTTTTGTAAAGGTTAATTGCCAGTTTAAGTGGCTATTTCAGCTGAATTTTTCAGTTGCTACAATGTAAAATTGACAAGATTTGTTGCTGTTCAGATATGTTGAAAAGCAGAAGTTTACATTGGAAGTATGTTGTAGGAGAGGTGATAAAACTACAGCAACAGGATGCATTTAAGGAGTGTTTTATTAATTGAATTTCATTTCTCATACATCTATGATATGAAAAACCCCAAACCACATTTGTTTCTGTCAGGTTGGGAACCCACAGGGGCAGTTCGACCCTGTCCTGTAAGGTCTCTTGGAGTTGGAAGCTGCTCTGTGGCAGTGGGTTTGGTTTTGGCTTTGGTACACATGGAGACAGACCCACAACAACCCAGAACGGCAGAGCTTGACGTCCTGTGTGGGTAATAATAGAGGATGAGGGGATCGATCACTGTGTGTACTTTCGATATCAAATTAGTCTGCATTTGATTTTTAAACTTCGAGGAAAAAGAATGGCAGAGTTCAAACTTTGAATAGTACCATAGCTATTGAATAAACTGCAAAGAAAAACAAATACAAAGGTAATTTACGTAAGACGTGGATGCCAGAGTTGGAACTAAACTGCATTGGATTTTCAGTGGCTTTTTTTTTTTTTGCCACAAGCAAATTACCAGGCCCTTCTTTCAAGTTGCATGTGGGTGAATCAGAACTCTGTGGTCTTTCCTAGTAGCCAATCATAAGTATGATTTGCACCACCCAGGTGCAAATTCCACAGATGGAAAATGTCACTTGGAAAAAATTTCTTCATGTGATTTCATAAACCACCTTATTGTATCTTAACCAACTGTGATTGTCACAACCTTGCAAGATACTTAGGAAGCCAGACTGTGAGTGACTTATTTTCTATGTGAATTACATCTCAGAGTATCAACCGTGAAATAGAGACCTTTTCTAAGTTAATTTCAAGTGAGGCGTAAACCAAACCAAACTCGCTTCCATTGAGTTGATTCTGACTCACAGAGAGCCTATAGGAGGGGTAGAACTGCCCTGGTTAGTGTCTAAGACTAACGATTTATGGGAGTAGAAAGCCTAGTCTTTCTCCGGAAGTCAGACATAGATTGGTCTATCTTTGCCATGTACAGTAATATTTCTTCATATGCTGTTCACGTTGCAGCAGTTATATGCAACCGCATATAGTCATTTTAAACTAAAAAGTCTTGGTCAAAGTAAAATTGTTTATCTGTAGAAATGTATTATCTTGGGAAGAATTAATATATATTTTATTGGAGAATAAGAGAACAGTGATATTTATTATAAATTCTTCACTTGCTATGAAATAAAAACTATTCATCTTTGAAATCTACCTTCTAATGCAGTTTTCAAAACTTGTAATTTTGGTGTTTTCTACATGTGGAATATATTTAGTTTTCCTATTAGATATATTATCTAACTATTTATTAAATATTACACATCTTCCTCAAATAGAGCTTCTTGCTATATCTCATGTAAAAGTCGAATACTTCTTTATCACACCTAGAGGGATCTCTTTTTAACATATATGCTTTAAGATTCTTTGTTTTAAAGTTTGCGGTTGCAGTTCACATGTCATGTGATTCAGTGAGCCCAGTGAGGGCTGAGCCACCATCACAGGCCACTTTGAAAGCGCTCCCCCACCAGCCCCCTGTACACATCAATTTGAGGCTAAAAATGTGTCATTTTAATTTGGTAACTTTTTTCTAATAGTGTTTATTCCATACTCCCGTATTCACCTATGTCTTTTGTAAGCTAGCCATTATTTTGACCACTAATCCTATATTAATTAATATAAGCAAATCAAAGAAAAATCTGGTTAACTAAAATTCTAAATATATTAATTTTCCCATACTCTTTTGCTATTAAAAAATTAATGTCACATTTTAGACCTTGTGATATATGTGTGTGTGTGTGTGTGTGTGTGTGTGTGTAAAACGAAGGAACATAAAAAATTTATATCATTGTGTAAACACTACCAAAGTATTAATATCAGCTTTTACAACAGCATGTAAAAGGGTTATTTTAATTTCACATACCTTCATTGAGTATCTACTGTTATCCATGATTAATTCATAGGGTCCTAAA